TTAATATATACTACTCAGTTTGTGTATCCACAAACAGCGGTATCATCAATTCAAACCCCCCATCCTACTAATGCTTCTAATATATTACGCTTACTATCTCTACACAACTATAGTACTAATAAATCCTTTGCAATTTTAACACACATCATATATAAACTTCTTATCGTATTTTAAAAACACCTATAATGATAATAAAGTGCATAGTTAATTAATATTATTCGTATACTTTCAAGTTTCTAAAGGATTTCTATGCAACACGTATAATAAAAAAAATATACGAACTAATTACTTCCTCCTACACTAACGTTATTAATCATTTTAAACTTTTTTTTACTCTTTTTTGTTCAACACAAAAGATTTCGTCAACGTAGTGATTGCAATTTACTTATAACTTCGGTAGGTAAATTGTAATATGAAGGTCGAATGATTCAAAATGATTCAACTGAAATTATTATAGTACGGCACGAAAACTTCAAGTTTCTTAGTATACTTGACTGGGTTCATAGAAGAGATAATCTACCCGAGCTTCCGAAAAAAGTATTGTAAAACGTATAAAAAAAAATCATTAATAAATTGTGTAACGATCTACAAACTCGGGGCACTCGGGACGTTCCTACCTCGATCATTTCCGAAGTCAGTTCCGATAAACAAAATTTATAAATGAAAAAACTTCTAGCGATGAAATCTTATACCGACATCAGGATATAACGACATCATAGTAAAATCTTTCTATATCGACATTTTGTTTTCAAAATTTAATATAAAATGTCACTATATCGACATTTGAATTTTTTTACTAATGAAAAAAAAATTGTCATTATACGTATCCAGAGTGTAACTACTTAATCAAATTTTGTAAAAACTTTGTTATTTTAATTCTATAGTTTTGTAGAATTGAAATAAAAAGAAGTCATTGAATTTGGTTTAGTAATTATCGAGAAATCATCGTTAAAGTTTAAAAAAACTTTAAATATCAAAAAAACAAATAGGGTAGATTTTTCTTTTTTTGAATTTTAAACGAAGTTTTCTAGACAACCAACTAACCGAATTTGATGAAACTTTTTTTTAATTCTCGGAGTTTATAGAATTAAAATAAAAAAAATTCTGTTTAAAGTTTTTAAGAAAAAGAAATATTTTAAGAAAAAGAAATATTGCAATAAATTTTTTATCGAAACTTTAAGCAAAGATTTCTCGACAATTAACTATCCGAGTTTGATGAAATTTTTTTATTTTAATCCTCTTGGTCATAGGATTAAAAAAAAATTTTTGGTCAAATTTGAATAGTTGGTTTTCGAGAAATATTTATTAAAATTTAAACAAAAATTGGCCGCAACTTCTTTTTATTGGCGCCTAAACTTTGAATAACACTTACTGACCAAATTCGATCAAAATTTTTTTATTTTAATTCTATAAAGTTTATAGAATTAAAATAAAAAAATTTTGATCGAATTTGGTCAGGTAAGTGTCAAGTAATCTTCGTTCAAAGTTTAGGCGTCAATAAAAAAGAAGTTGCGGCTAATTTTTATTTAAATTTTAATAAATATTTCTCGGCAACCAGCTATTCAAATTCAATCCAATTGTTTTTTATTTTATTTTATTTTATTTTATTTTAATTCTATAGACCCAGAGGATTAAATTAAAAAAAAATTTGGTTGGTTGTCGAGAAATCTTTGTTAAAAAATGTTCAAGAAAAAAAATTCGAAAACTACTAAACAAAATTCAATGAACTTTTTTTTTATTTCAATTTTACAAAACTATAGAATTAAAATAAAAAATTTTTACTAAAAATTTTAAAAGCTGATTAGAATCAATTAAAATCTAAGGATTTAAAACGATTTTCATCAACACCGTCGATTAAAATTGAAGCAGATTTTTATCGATTATAATTGATAATAAATAAAAAATATTGATTATAATCGATTTAGTTTAATTATTTTAAATCGCTTTTAATTAATTTTTTGTATATATTGATTATAATCGATTATTTAATTTAAATCGATTATCAACACCACCGTCGATTATTATTGATTAAATTTAATCAATAATAATTGATTAATTGTTAGTGATCATTACTTATCAACTTAAAAAATTTCCTGATGTACCAAATTAATAAGATTTCATCGCTAGAAGTTTTAAAAAATTTTCGAAATTATTAAATTTTATCGGAACCGACCTCGGAAATGATGTCAGCCACGTGAATGCCCATCGCTTTGCTACTAGTTTAATCAATCTGGTATGAACCAAAAAAAATAAGTACTGTAGAATTAATAGCAAAAAAACCGGCATAGTCCCTTCAATACTGTAGACAAAGTATTATCAATTAATGCTGACGTATCTCTTTGAAGTATATCAATATGGATGATTGGAATATAACGATAGATAATGTTAGTATTATTATCTAAAAGTAAGATCTTTGCTAGGAAAATGACCCACCGAGGCTATGTTGATTTTGTAAAAATTAAATTTGCTAACCATCTAGTTATCCAATTTGAATGAACTATTTTTTTTATTTTTTGGGGCTAAATAAACTCTACAAAATAAAAAAAGATCATTCGAATTGGATAACTAGATGGTTGACAAATTTATTTTTACAAAATCAACATAGCCTCGGTGGTCATTTTCCTAGCAAAGATTCCATTTTTAATACGTATGAAACTAATTGTATCTGTCGTTTGCGCAGACGGTTTTTAAGCAGTGTTGGCACTGGGCATGTGTCCAAATATTTTTTATGCTATTGGACTGGACTGGACATTGGCCATAATACTTGGACATACGTCCAATAAATTTCAAACCGTTAATAGTTATTATATAGTAAAGTCAGATTTTTATTAAGGAAATCGATATTAGGTTTTTAAGTAAAATTATTCAGATCAAAATACCGGTACATGTATTTTGAAAGTTTTATATAAATTTCTTTTTTTATTTTTTGTTTATGAACAAAATTTTAAATTTTAAACTGTTTATAGAACGTAAAAAAAATGACAACGCATTAAGATATATATATATATTTTGATTCTTCGAACAACTTTACTTAAAGACTCATTATCAACTTCTTTAGTAAAATTTTGACTTTACTATATAGCAACTATCAATGTTTCAAAATAAATTTATTTTGATTGGTTATTTATTACATGATAATAATTTATATGTCCAAGGTTCAATACCTTCTAGCCAATAGATTGGACTGGACTGGACAAGGGTGGTTCAATGTCCAGGTTCAACACTAATTTTTAAACGTAATTATAAATATTCATACACGGATCTTACAAATATTATTAAAAGTCTTGACAATTATTTTTCTGCTAAAAAATATAGAGAATATAAATCTTATCCGATATAATTACATTTGAAATTTTATATATTCTATTTTCTTTACAATATATTGATGTACATTAAACTTGAAAAAAATTTATAACAAGGGCTGACACATCAAATACAATCAAACTTTAAACCTATTCATCATTTATGCACAAACTTTAGCTTGTAAACTATTTTATTATATTATAAATTAAATAAATATATACGTAATTTGTTTTTGTAAATCTAAGCATCGTCATTTTCATATTTTTTGTTAATCGGACCAACAACAGTAGCGTTTTTGACTTTATACCAAGTATATACAAATGCAGCTATTGACAATAAAGCAGCAAGTCCCAACGTGATTCCAGCAATAGCAGGACCACTTAATGCTAATTTATGGTAACTACCACTATCACTACCACCACTACCATTAGGACTACCACCAGAACCACTACATTCATTAGTTGGTGATGGAATATTGTGATTTAATATTTGAATTGAATTAAGTAATTCTTGACCATTGTCATTTGCTATTTCCCAAACAGCAATTCCTTTTAATCCTTGTTGTTTTGTGTACTTAGCTTTTACGTACAAGGATTGTGGATCATCGTAAGAAATATAAATATTTGTATTTGGATTGTATAACCATGGTGTTTGTGTCACATTATCAAAATTACGTGTCCAAAGGCTACTGCTTTGCAAAGTGCAATCCAAAAGACTTTGTTGTCTTAAATTTCTCCAAGTCCATATACCCGAATAACTAGAATCAGCACCAGAACATGGATCAGCAGACATTTGATCAAATTGATCACCTTGAGGAACAACGGGATCACGTTTAACATATTGGCTTGTTGACATTGGTTCTAGAGCAGTTTGTGCGCGTCCCATAAATTCAACACCCATAACGATCTTAGAGCTTGGCATTCCAGCATTTACCCAATTTGAAATCGAACTTTTGAAAGATATACGATTGGTTGTAGTATTAGGAATATCAAAAGGAGCATTTGGACCTGTGAATTGAGCCCAACTTTCAGTATATTTATCAGAGACACTAACATCATATGCCTAAAGATATCAATTGATAGAGTGATCTTTTAATTAATTAAATTTAATGATCATATCCGGGTAGAAATAGTTATTTTATCCGGATAACCGGGAATTTAAATAATTCCCAAATAAAAATTTTAGTAATTATATAATTAAATTGACATTTCCTTACCATGATATTAACCCAATCCACTAATTTAGCGAATGAACTTACGTCACTTATTGTACCATTTGGGCCATTAAATGGAGAAGTGGGTACAGCCAAAGTGAGCAACTTGTCATTACCTAACGCAGCGCGCAATTCCGTTAGCAATGCCAAAAAATTATTAGCATCATCATTTTGATTCACTACATTGCATATCATCCCTTGTTTTCCTGGATATTCCCAATCAATATCAACCTTATAAAATCATTAAAATTTAAAATCAATAAAATCAATATAAAAGCGTTTTAAGCTCTGTTAAATCATGTGATCATATCATATACTGCGGCCAGTTCATGTCATGTGAACGTAACAATTTTGGATGTTGCAATGACTGATTCGTGTTTAATAAAGAATTTAATTTAAAAATCTTACCCCATCTAAATTAAATTGATTTATCATGGATACAGTGGCATTTATGAATTTAGTACGAGATGCAGCAGTCGAGGATAATGTACTAAAATATCGACTTCCTGTCCATCCCCCAACTGAAAGTAAGACCTAATTAAAAGTAAGAAAGTAGCGTTCATGTAAACTAATACACTGTACATCTATGTGTATATTTGTTGAGAATTGAAAAGAGAATAATACCTTCACTTTAGCTACATGAGCATAAATTACTAATGTGGTTAACACAGTCTGTGATTGTACATCCAGAACCGGATTGAATTGATCATCGACGATCGCGAATGCTATAAAAAATTAATATATCGACATTAAATTTAGATACGATATTCATTCTATTTAATTGCGTATGAGCAGGTATGTACCAAAGTTCACATGGGTGATTTTAGTCCATGGTAAGTTATTTTCGGCTAAAGAGGAACGCTTCCAATAAGAATAATAAACTGCAATCACTTTACTATTGTCTGTGGATACTACAGTTGTAGGTGTTGGGACGGTTGGGATGGCACTTGAGGTGAAAGTTGCAGTGGAAGAAGTATTAATGGAAGCATTAGTAGGATGGGGGGTTTGAATTGATGATACCGCTGTTTGTGGATACACAAACTGAGTAGTATATATTAA